GTTTGTTTGTTTTTAAGATTTTATTTTTTTAAAAGCTTCGAGCTTTTCGCACAGCAAGTCTCCCTGTTCGAGGATGAGGAAGTGGGGCTCAGGACCTTGGGTGGCTTGCCAAGCTCACCTGCTGGTTGTGCTGGCTTCCGATGCCCGGCTGGGCGCTGGTCCTGTGCTGGGCCGGGCACGGGGCAGGTGGCTCCGGGCTGGGCTGGGTGTGCCCGGACGAGGAGCCTGTCATCCGTCCTGGGAGATGTGAGGGGGGCAGACACCCGGGCAGGAGGGACCAAAGTCCTCATGTACGGCCTTGGGGGAGTTAATGTGTAATATTCTAGAATATAAACTGGGCTGTGAGGCGTGATCTTGAGCGCAGACCTCCAGGAGTCACCGGGAGCCGCACCGGGAGCTGCCACCATGTCGGTGAGGATGCCGGGTTGCCCACTGACCACCTCTTCCGTTTCCCACATCTGTGCTTCAGTGGGGCAGCTGGTAGGGGGCGGGGGGAGGGCAGCTGGAGGAAAGCCACTGCCCCTCTCCGGGCCTCGGTTTCCCTGTCCGTAGACTGACCAAGTCGGTCCCACGGCGTCCACAGCCCTCTAGGGTAGATGTTCTCTGCTCCCTCCACCACCACCCTGCTGGGGGAGCCGAAACCTACCTCTTCCCCTCTCTAGACTCCGTTTCTCATCCGTAATAATAACTGCCAACATCTACTGGGCTTTAACTTTTTTTTTTTTAAACGTTTATTTGTTTTTGAGAGACAGAGAATGAACAGGGGAGGGCCAGAGAGAGAGGGAGACACAGAATCTGAAGGAAGCTCCAGGCTCTGAGCTGTCAGCACAGAGTCCGATGCGGGGCTCGAACTCACGGACCGTGAGATCATGAACAGAGCCGAAGTCGGATGCTTAACCGACCGACCCACCCAGGCGCCCCTATTGCGATTTATAAAGATGAAGAAACTGAGGCTCAGAGGTTAAACCACCCAACATTACGACCTGTACGTTGCAGGCGTTTGAGTGGATCCCCTTTGCAATCTTTGATTCCAAACCCGGCGCTATCACAGCTCGCTGTGTGGCTTCAGATAAGTCACTCTCCCTCTCTGAGCCTCAATCTCCCGCATTTGTGGAATTGGATCACAATTCTTCTGAGGATTAGACGGTGTCTTAATTTCCGGTGGCTACGGTAACAATATTCCCTTGCAGTTTTGGGGGGTGGAGGCCTGAAATCAAGTGGTTGGCAGGGCATGCTTGCTCTGAAGTCTCCAGGGGAGGATTCTCTCTTGTCTCTTCCAGCTTCTGGTGGCTGCCGGGAGTCTGTGGCATTCCTTGGCTGTAGCTGCACGACTCCGATCTCTGCCTCTGTCTTCGCATGGCCTCTTCTTCTGTGTGTCTGTGCCTCCGGGTCCACGTTTCCCTTTTCTTTTTCTTTTTTTTTTTTTGAGTGTATTTATTTTGAGAGAGCGCGCGCGCACAAGCGAGCAGAGCGAGCATGAGTGGGGGAGGGGCAGAGAATCCCAAGCAGGCTCTGCGCTGTCGGCTCAGGCCCCGATGAGGGGCCCGAACCCGCGAACTGTGAGATCATGACCGGAGCCGAAGTCAGGAGTTGGACGCTCAACGGACTGAGCCACCCAGGGGCCCCTCTCTTCCCTTTTCTTATAAGGACACCAGTCACATTGGATTGAAGGCCCACCCTAAACAAGTCTTAAGTTGATTACGTCTGCAAAGACCCTGTTTCCAGATAGGTCGCATCCGTTAAGTTTCAGGTGGACGTGACTTTTCGGGAGACGCTGTTCAAGCCAGTCCCTGTAAGGTGCAGGATGTGACCGTGACTGGAGGGGTCAGTGTGGCGGGGATGATGCACTCCCCACCCCCTGCCTCCCAAGGGCAACTTTGTGGCCCAGAGGCCTTCCCGTCTTTCCCCTTCTCTGGTGGTCCCATCCCTGCCCTCTCTTTCCTCCTTCTCCAGAGATCACCTAGTCCAAATATCCTACATTAATGATGGGAGAACCGAGGCCCAGAAAGGGAGGCAGCTGGCCCCAGGTCACTCAGCCAACCAGGGGCAGGGTCGGGACTCGATCCCTGACCACCGACTCCTGCCCCACTCCCCAAACTGGCTTTGCCCCCCGTTGTCTGTCTCAGACTTTGCTGAGTGAGGACAGGGATCCTGGGTCTGCACGCTCCCACCGGCACCCTTCTCTGTCCAGAGGCACCTGTCCCTGGCCTTTCTGGTGCTCCCGTCCCGTAGCAACCCCCACCTCTATCCTTGGGGGCTTTGCTCCTTCTGTTTCAGCCAGGCAGCTCCCAGGAGGTAGTAAGGGAACGGGGCTGCTCTTCCCTACAGGCGGGCCCCAGCCTGACTGGTCCAGGGTCCTGGAGGGAGTGGGTGGGCAACTGGGGGGAGACGAGAAGACTCAGCCCGCTCACGAGGTCTGGTTGTAGCCGTGTATGCGTCTCAGAGCGCCCGTCTGTGACAGCTTGCTTTGTGGCAGGACATCTATGTTTCTGGTAACGTCTGAACATCTTTGGGAGGGACCGGATAACCTTGTCTCTGAGCGGCAAACTTGTCTATCTGTGAGACGCTGGAGGAGAATTTTAACCCAGCCTGTCTGGTTCTCAAGACGGCAATCCAGCTGTCACACCAAGCGTCCCTCGGACCGGTGAGGCTCTCCTGCCTCTAACCCCCGTTTTCTCAACGGCGGGGAGGTTTTTCCCACCTGGGGGCATT